CCCTAGACTTTTCATATTATACAGCCCAAGCCCATTCCTGTTTTGAAGAAGAAGAAAATTGAAGATTCCTCTACACCTTTTGGATCCTTGAAGGCTGCTAGACATTGGTGGTGGTCTTCAGACTCCCCCAGCCTTCATATTCCCAGCTCCCTTTCAGTTTCCCCACAGAAAGTCTTCAAATCAAATGATTTTTAAAAAATTTTTAAATATTTATTTATTTATTTTCTAGTTCTCGGCGTCTTTGTTGGTATGTGGTGCTGAGGATTGAACCCAGGCCGCACGCATGCCAGACAAGCGCGCTACCACTTGAGCCACATCCCCAGCCCAGGAGAGAGTTTTTTATAGCCAAAATTTAATGTGGTCTTTAGGTCTGCGAGCTGACTTGTTGGCCTACATTGATTGGATCATATAGTAGTTCCTTCTGCCCTCAGGGAGACGGGGCAGGGGCCAGATGTGGGTTTCCCATGGCTCCAGACCCAGACCGGTGGGGGGTTGAGTGTTAGACCTTGAGTGGGGTTGAGTGCTCAGCCTTGAGGCAAATAAGCCATAAGGAACCAGACTGGTGAGGTGAGCCCACCCTGCAGCTAAACATTTGTTCAGCCTGCTTCACAACTAACAACAGGGACTCACTCTGTTGCCCAGGCTAGTATCAAATTCCTGGGCTCAAGAGATTCTCCTGCCTCAGCCTCTTGAGTAGCTGGGGCTACATGCACAGGCCACTGCACCCAACTTTTATTTATTTATTTATTTATTTATTTAGGTTACTGAGAATTGGACTCAAGGGCACCTGATCATTGAGCCATATACCTATTTTGTATTTTATTTAGAGACAGGGTCTCACTGAGTTGCTTAGTGCCTCGCTGTTATTGAGGCTGACTTTGAACTCATGATCCTCCTGTCTCAGCCTCTGAGCTGCTGGGATTACAGGTGTGAGCCACTCAGCCTAGGTAATTTGGGCCTAATTTTTAATTCCTCACTTATCAAGTGGTAAAAAATGTTTGCAGAAGGCTTCATTACCTACTCAACTGGTCACAAGGCCCCTGGGGGGCCCTGCACCAGTCTTCTGGCTTTGGTTCCCTCACTTCCTTGCTACACTTGCCAGGTTGGACCAACTCCTACAGCTAACACGCCTAGGCTTTGGCAACTGATGCCTTCCTCCCTTCCCTTTCTCACTGTGACAGCAGTCAAGTGCTTATCTTCCCTTTGTTGTCTCTTCCTTTATCCAAGGATGCTTCTGGAAGGTGTTTGCAGACTTTGGTGGGAGAGTGAGATGAAATAATGCAGACCGGCTGGTTTGAAGCAAAAGCTCCACACCTGTTTGCTAAGTCATTTCAGCCTTGGTGCTGTTACAGAGCTGGAACCTTCCAAGAAACTGAGACAGCATGAAGACCTCCTTCAAACCCCAATTCTTGTGATCAGGTCACAAAGATTTCAGACATGTGGCTCAGAATAATATGAATGAATTTATTGAAGGGATAGGAAAAGGGAAAGAGGATCCTCTTAAGGGAGAATGGGTCCTCTCATAGAGTGACATCTTTCCTGTACTCGCTTTATTGGGGATCCCAGAGAAGTTTCCAAATCCTGCCCAGGTCCACCTCTTGAGTTTTGACTGACAGTAGGATGATATCAGACTTTCAATTCCCCACTGCCTTGATAACTCTAGGTCAACTTGGCCCATGCTGATCGGTTCTAATTTTTTTTTAATACTGGTGATTGAACCCAAGGGCAATTTATCACCAAACCACATTCCCAGTCCTTTCTATTTTTAGACAGGGTTCTGTCTTGCTAAGTTGCTGAAGCTGGCTTTTTTAAAAAATTTTTTTAATATTTTTTTTTAGTTATTGGCAAACACAACATCTTTGTATGTGGTGCTGAGGATCGAACCCGGGCTGCAGGCATGCCAGGCGAGCTACCACTTGAGCCACATCCTCAGCCCCAGCTGGCTTTGAATTTGTGATCCTCCTGCCTCAACCTCCTGGTCACAAAAACCTCCCACTTCAGTGTAACTGGGTTCCTCTTCTCATTTTACCCCTGTAGATTATTGAGGAATATGACAGTCTGCTCACTTATATTGGGAAGGGCTGGAAGTAAATCGCTTCTTGGAAAAGAAAGCATAGAGGTCTACACAATGGGTCCATTTTTTATAATTATTCTTAACTCCCACCATTTGCACTGTCCACTAACAGTACCACCTGACCCCTTTGTAAATTGACCTGTGGATCCGGTCAACACTGAACAGTTCCTTACTGTTTGCACTACTTTTAGATTTCTCTTCCAACTGATTTTCCCTTCTAAATGCTGCTACTCAGGTGATCTTTTGGCAGGATTGATGCTTCCATTTTTCTTGGAACTAGGGAACTATTCTATTACAAACTAAATTGACTACTCAGGTGTAGTTCTACCTTTTTTAAATATTTTGCTCAGGCAGGCCTTGAATTTGTGAAATCTTCTGCCTTAGTCTCCTGATACTGGGATTATAGGAATAAGCCACCATTCCTGGAATGAAGTTGCCTTTAAAAATCATCCTAGAGGGCTGGGGATGTGGCTCAAGCGGTAGCGCGCTCGCCTGGCATGCGTGCGGCCCGGGTTCGATCCTCAGCACCACATACCAACAAAGATGTTGTCTGCCGAGAACTAAAAAATAAATATTAAAAATTCTCTCTCACTCTAAAAAAAAAAAAAAAAATCCATCCTAGACTCAGGAGGGTGGCAAGCTCAAGGCCAGTCTCAACCATTTAGTAAGGCCCTACCTAAAGCAACTGAATGGTAAGCTGTCTTGAAATGGCTGGGGTTATAGCTCAGAGTTAAAGTACCCTAGGTTCAATCCTATGCACCATCAAACCCCACCAGTCCTGGGCACCAAATATAACTGCTGTGGCTCATCACCTCTTGGCACCCATGAACCACCCCTTCCTCTTCCAATGTGTTGCATTGGTCCTGGAAAGGGGTGCTTTACCACTGAACCACATCGCCAGCCCTTGTTCTTGAGATGGGGCATGTTGCTTAGGGCCAATTAAAATTCAGAGATGCCCATACTGTCAGTGAGACTCAACCAAAGCAATGAATCACACAGATTTAAGAAAAAGAACTTTATTTGGAAAATCAAAATGATTGTGTGTTAACTTGATTGTGTGTTAACTTGAACAGCTAGGATGCACAAGAAAAGATCTGGAAATCTGATGTCCTCCAAGACTTGGATGGATGCCTGCTGAGGAAAGAAGAATCTTTACTGGATGGGAAAACAAAAACAGTTTGATCTCTAACTGATCATTCTTCCATTTTCCATTTATAGAAATTCTGATCATCCCTCAGACAGTTCCTTCTGGAACAAGCTTTCCTCTTCTCCCCCAGCCAGCCCCAGTGGGTTCACCTTTACAGGCTCTGGGACTAGGACAGGAAGTAAGACGTGTGAAATGTTTCTTCATTGGGAAATTTTTAGCTTACTGTACTTTACCTTCACCTTAGTCCACTTACCTTTAACTTCAGGTTGAAGTTAGGCAGACATGACTTGCTTTCTCTGTAATGGAAAGAGATTAGGAATTAAGTCATCTATTTATTGCTTAAAGGAAAAGCACACTTCATAAAAACCTAGTCTTAGAAAGTTATTGGCTATAAAGCCTATCTTCTTATTGCTATAGTTTATCACTGTTAAGATGAGCTCACAACTCAGAGTGTACCTTTCTGTCACAATGATCAGACTGGGGCGGTATTCAACTCATCACTGGTGAGCAGGAATTCACCATTGGTGATCGAAATATGGGTACTCAGACCAAAGTATCACCACAGGATAAAGTCGATGCTATATGATAACCATAAATATTGCAAAGGTATGTACCTCAAATAACTCCTGGGTTCCAGACAAGATGCTAGACCTGAAACAAACAAGATCAAATGAGTAATGCTTATGTCCTGCCTCAGTTATCCCCACCTATTATTTCTAGGAAATCAGATTTCCGAGTCTCAACAGCAAAACATCAGCCGAACGAGATTCCATAAGTCATCATATATATTTGCCGAAAAAGGCACTTTTTCCTACCCAATATGCTATATATACTTAATACATACTGAAATTACTCACCTTTGAACCAGTAAGTAGATATTGGTAACAGCACCTGAAAAATTTAAGAACATATAAAATACTATGTATATGTGGCATATCAGGATATTGCCCACTTCTATATCCTTCAGTTTCTCAGGTGTTCATATATTTTCATTGTCAATCATAGTGAGCTAGTTTGGGTCATCATAGAAACTTCCTACTTGGTGGCATAAGCCATGAATCAGGAAAAAAACCCTACTAACCTGCTAATGCTGAGCAGAGTATTTTCAGCAGTATGTAGAAATGAGTTGCTCCTGAATCAGAAAAACACTAAATTAGCAAAGTACTCAAAATATCCAGCTACTATTAATGACAAGCAAAGCAAATGCTATTGCCATTTGCTGGACCTCATGGAACCAAGTTTCCATCCTCTCTTCCAGCTACAGTGGATTCACCATTACTGGTTCTGGGACTAGAGCAGGGGGTTAAGACAAGATGTCTGTTCTTACTGGCACTGTAGCCTTGACAAGCTGTAACTGGCAAGCACTCACCCCTTCCAACTCTTTAGCCTGGCCCTGGGCAGATCAATGACTATCTACAAATCAGCTTAAAGGCAGAATCAGGGCTCTTGTAACCAATACCACGATTTATAGGGTGGCTTTACCATCGTGGTATTGGTTACAAGAGCCCTGATTCTGCCTTTAAGCTGATTTGTAGATAGTCATTGATCTGCCCAGGGCCAGGCTACTGAAAAAGAAAGCCACCCTACAAATGATAATATGCTCTTTTTAAAAAAATATTTTAGTTTTTGGCAGACACAACCCTTTGTATGTGGTACTGAGGATCCAACCAGGCGGGCCACACACATGCCAGGCGAGCTACCCGCTTGAGCCACACCCCCAGCCTGATAATATGCTCTTACATAATTTACAATAGCTATTAGTAGAAGCAACTTACCATAAAATGGGAAAATATGTCGTTATCAGGAAAACCTGGGAAAAGAGGAACATGTGGTTATTTCAAAGTATTAGGATGGAAAGACATTTTTCTTCATTATCAACAACTGCCATCAGAACTCTAACATGCTATTTACTGTTGTACCTCACAGATCATCAGCATACTGATTCAAATCATCTGACAGTGATATATGGATGAGAGAAGAGCACATCATTACAAGAACCAATTGGACTATTGGTTGCCGTCTTCCCTCCCCCAGAAAATTGCTCCAAAAGGAACAAGATGGATAAGGTGGATGGAGCAAAAAGGCAACAAACACGGCTCCATTGACCATTTGCCCTCCTGTTTGTGAACAATTGTGATAAAATAATCAGAGATCCCATTCTAAGAATTACCTGCATTTACTCTTGGGGATAATCAAATTCCTCAGGATAGGTCATGAGATGCGTAGACAAAAATAGGACTGGTTAAGTGCCCCTGGGTTCGATCTCTGATTTTAGAAAAAAAAAATTTATTTGTACCTTTAAGAATTACCTTCAAAAGTACTCTAAACCCCTGGCCCACTCCTCAGGATTAAGATGACATCACTTATAACTCAGTCATATGCTTGTCGTTTTATGTTCATCACAGAGTGGTTATCCAGAAACGCTCCCTTTCCACAAGCCATATATACCTACATGGAGGATCGCTGTAATCGCAGGAATGATCTCCGTGCATTCTCCAGACACCACACATCTTTGAGCTAAGGCACACCTGAAAATAGAACACCCTTCACTAACACCTCAACTTAAAACCCAAGGAAAACAAACTTCTGGGTAGCGCTACTCAGAACTTTTACATTTTCTCCACTAAACCATCAGAAAGAGAGAGTTCAAATCGTAAATCATCCCTGTAGCACATCCAGTAGTTCTTCCAGCCCACCAAAGAACAAGAACTAGACGGCCAAAACCACTTACTCCAACCAGAGGGCTGTCTTCGATTGTTGTGTGGCGAATGTGCGTCTTGACCCTGCAGACAAAACATTAGATTAGTATAGGATATTTTTAAAAATGCTTTCTACAAAGCAACGGCCGCAGGGGGCACAAGCTGTGCAGCGCCGGTCTCCTCAGAGTTACTTATCCTCACGGAGTTCAGTACAGGTCTGTGAAAATGTCCTCATCACTGGGAGGGCGCCTGGCTCGGCCCGCTACCGCCATTTTGTCCTTCACAAAGCCCCAATGCTTAGGAATAACTGAATAGGTCCGGGAGATCTTCCCTCCCAGCCCGCCAATAGGTAAGACAATAGAGATCTGGAGCGCGCGACCTAATGGCTATAATGGCAGCGACTCCGGAGATAATGACAATAGGATCGATAGGTCGAGTTCAGGTTAGGCAGCTTAAGAAGACTCAAAAGTCAAAGAGTGGCTCAGTGGCTAAAATACCGCTGAGCCCAATATGCCATGCCGCGAAATAAATTAAGACAGAACCGAGAAACCCACCAACCCATGTACTCACCGGAGCCTGGAAGGAAAAATGAGACCGAATAAAACGACGCGAGACGCTTAAATACTTTCACGCAAAGGCCCACGGGATTGGGGGCGGGCACAAAGCGAGCGCACGCGCATATGGCACGCCACCACAACCTTGAGGAATTGTGGGTTGAGAATTCTAGGGAAGGGCGGGTGTCGAACTGAACACTGGGTCACAGAACTTGAGGCGCGAAAAAGAAGCGCTTGCGCCCCATGGGAGTGCGCAGGCGCGCCGAGCGGTTTGCGTCTCGGCGGCTCTGGCTTTACTGCGGGTGTGGTCGCAATTCTGAAGATCCCTGCTTGGGGCGGATCCTGGGCTAATTGTTCCGGTCACCGCTAGGCCTACCCTTGCACCCTGTCCTGATTTCCCTCTTACATCCCCACACGTTACACCTGTGTGCAGAGCCGCCTCCATGGATTCTGAACCTCATGAGCCCTCGACCCGCGACCTCTCCATTCCGCGCCAGCCTCCCAGCGCCCTTTCAGGGGCTGATGTCCAGGGTTACAACGCGGGGGGCGACTCAGGTACTGGGCCCCGTGCTGACCTCTAGTGGAAGTCCCATATGGGGAAAGTAAGTCAGGGTGTAAGTACTCCACTTAATTCTGAAGACAGGGTCTGATTTGTCCTGACCGGCCACCAGCTTCTGTCTGATCCTATTTTGCTAGGAGCCTGGCCTGTAATAATAAGACTGACATCCGGGGACGGTCAGGAAGCACTGTTTTTTTTTTTTTTTTTCCTTTCTCATCGGTGCCCGGGATCGAACTCTGTGTATTATGCATGTTAGGCAAAGGGATCTACCATCGAGGTACACAACCTAGCCTGAAGCATGATTCTTTTGAGGCACCGGGGATTGAATTCAGGGTCACTCAACCACTGAGCCACATCCTCAACCCTGTTTTGTATTTTAGTTAGAGACAGGGTCTTGCTGAGTTGCTTAGGGCCTCACTAAATTGCTGGGGCTGGCTTCGAACTCTGAATCCCCCCCGCCTCAGCTTCCCGAGCCGTTGGGATCACAGGAGTGCGCCTTTGCACCCTACCCTGGAGCAAGATTTTAATCATGCAGTATGAGTTGATTAATTTAATCCTCTATAATTCCTGTTTTATAGATGAATGACCTTAGGTATAAAGGGCCCGAGGAACTGCTTACAATTTCCTCCTGATTTTCTGGGTTGCAATCAACTAAAGGGTATTGTTACTGAGATCAACCGGCATTCATAGACACCCATGTAGGAGCGTGCGTTAAGCTTACCAGGTACTCTCCTGCATGACTTCACTTAATACTGCTACCTTGGGAGGAAGCTGTGAAGGTAATGCTATAGATGAGGAGCCTGAGGCCTAGAGAGGTTAAGTAACTCTAGTGTTACTTTGCTAAGTAATACCAAAGCCATGTTAAAAATACAGTCAGTATGATTTCAGAGTCTGCTTCTGACATCTGAAGAAAGTTGGGGAGCAGGCAGTGACACAGGAAACAAGTGGAATAATCCTTGGGCGCTGTTTCTTAATCTTTTTTGTCACCCTGCCTAACGCAAAAAGTACCTAAAAAAAAATATTTGGTTTTTAGGTGTAGATGGACACAACACAATGTCTTTTTTTTTTTTTTTTTAAAGAGAGAATTTTTTTTTTTAATATTTTTTTTTTTAGTTTTCGGCAGATACAACATCTTTGTTGTTTGTGGTGCTGAGGATGGAACCCGGGCCGCACGCATGCCAGGCGAGCACGCTACCGTTTGAGCCACATCCCCAGCCCTAAAAAGCACTTAAAAAAAAAAAAAAAAAAAAGAATGTATTTTTAGTTTTTGGTAGACTTTATTTATTTATTTATTTATATGCAATGCTGAGAATGGAACCCAGTGCCTCACACATGTGAGGCAAACACTCTAAGCCACAGCCCCAGCCCCAAACATTTTTTTTCCTCTAATCTCTTTATGAAATTTTAGTGCCAAAGATAATAGTCTATCTGCATATCTACTTGGACATTTAGAGTGCCAGAAACCTTTTCAGTATCTGAGATTTACCACCTGCTACAAACCAATTTTTACGCCTTGGGACCAATGATATTTTCATACCTGTCTCAGAGTAACATAATGAATGACACTGTACACAAATACTGAAAGAATTCCATTTTTTTTTTAACATTTATTTTTTAGGTGTAGATGGACACAAAACAATGCCTTTATTTTTATGTGGTGCTGAGGATCCAACCTGGGTCCCGCCCATGCTAGGCGAGCGTTCTACTGCCAAGCCACAATCCCAGCCCCTGAAAGAATTCCAATTTGAGTTAAGTTATAGACTGGTGTGAATCAATTTATTCAATAACTAATAAGTTCTTATTTTATGCATGATACAACATATGGGGGAAAGAGAAAAAGACACTCTGCTTTAAGAGATTTTGATCTGGTTGGGAGGGCATTAAGATGTGCATATAAAGACCCTAAATACAGATTGAAAAGTTGTAACAAAACGTATAAAAAACAGAAAAGATAAGCTGAAAAATGAAGATCCAGAGTAGGCAGACAGTACTGGGGAGGTTGAATATAGGAATGAAAATTGGGGAAATGCTTTATAGAGTATTATCTAATCTGGAAGATAGATAAACAGACTGGAGGGAGGGAATTCCTAGTTAAAACAATTTGAGCACAGATTTGGTGCCAGCAAAGAAGTGTATCAATAAAATTCATGAAAGTTAGGTTAAAGGGGAATGATAGAATATAAAACTGGGAAAGATTTCCAAGGAAAGGCCGGCAGGGGAGCCAGGCATGATGGCTCATGCTTGTAATCCCAGCAACTAGAGACTGAGGAAGGAGGATCACAGTTTGAGGCCAGCCTCGTCAATTTAGCGAGGCCCTAAGCAACTTAGTAAGACCATGTTTCAGAATAAAAAATAAAAAGGGGGCTCATTGGTAGAGCACCCCTGGGTTTGAACCTCAGTACCAAAAAGAAAAAAAGAATATCTAAATCATTGGGATTGTAGGTAATGAGAAAGAAGCTAGTAAAAGTTGAGCAGGGGTTGAGGAAAAATTAGGAAATAAGAGGGAAAGACATTAATTTGATTGTCACAGTAGTTTAAGCAAGAGGTAACTGGATTCTACACCAATAAGTGAATTGGCAGTGGAAATATAGGGTAGGGGATTTAAGTCAGGGGTCTCCAACTTGTGTACCTACAAAAATCAGGCAAGTTTTGCAAATGAGTGATAGAAACTGGGTAGCTTTGATTCAGCTCCAGCTGATTGTTGCCTGGCTGGACTATTTTTCCCATGTGATTGTATGGTTAGAGTTTTCAAGAGAAGAGAATCCAGAGTTCTGTATTAATCTACTCATTTGAAAATGTTGACATCTTAAAAAAAGAAAAAAATGTTGACATTTAAGTTGAAATCTGACTTGATTTTTTCATTTTTTATTTTTTATTTCTGGTTCTGGGGTTTAAACCCAGGGCCTTGCACATACTAGTCAAGCACTCTATCAGCTGAGCTATGTCCCCAGCCCTAACTTTAAAATTTTAAGCACATCCTGTGAGCTAATGAAAATGTGCCTTTGGCTCACAGATGGCTCATCATTATGAATGTGCACCCTCTGTATAAGACATGGAATCCATTGGAAAGGGGGCATTTCCAAAAAGTGGATGCTCTTTTGGAAGCTATAGAAGGATTGAAGGGGATTAGAATGAAAGAAACAGAGCCCCCCAAAACCAATGTTCTTAGCACTTTGAGATCACAGGTGCCTTTCATTCAACCATTATTGTACCAATATTAATTTGTTGAACACTTACTAGGCATAGGAATACAACAGGGAACAAAGCAAACTGTCTTGTGCTCACTGGAGCTTACAATGGATAAACAAAGAGAAATAAATAAAATGTCCAGGGGAAATCAGTGCAGTGGTACTAATCTGGTACTGGCAGGGAACTTGAGAGGGAGCATTGAGGAATGGGCGGAATTATTTCACTCAGGGTCTTTCTGGTGGGTTGACATTTGTGCAGAACTCTAAAGGAGATGGAGGAGAGAGCTGAAGGGGTAAAGTGTTCCAGGCAGAGGGACCAGAGAACTGCTTATTGATTTGTAGGTGAAATTACTACTTGTGCTTAGGAATTTTTTGTTATTGTTTTACATGCTTAAAAGTTTTTAAATAAGATGGGAAATTTTACTTATATTTGTCAAGGAGACATTGAAGTTTGGTGGAAATAATGTAAGTTTCATTTTCCATGGGATAGTTGAATTTGAACTTTTTTTTCTTTAAATAAAGAGGATGTTGTATGAGCAGCATATAGTGGCCATATGTATATATAAATGTACTTGTTTTTTCTCATTTGAGAAATACTTATTCTATTTAGGATCCCATTCTTGTGTTTTTTCTCATTTGAAAAAAATAATGAGGTAAAAAATTTGGAGAGTTTTAGTGAGTTTTTCTTCTCTTTGAGTAAAAGACTTGACAAGAACAACTTAAAAAGTGAAAAAGTTTATTTTGGCTCAAGGTTTCAGGAGTTTGGCTGACTCCATAGCTCTGGGCTCAAGGTGAGGCAGATCATCACGTTGGAAGGGTGTGGTGAAGGAAAGCATTCAGGATGTGGTAACTAAGAAGCAGAGAGAAGGCTCTGCTTACCAGGAACAAAATATGAACCCTAAAGGTATGCCCCATGATTTTTCTCTTCCAACCACATCCTGCCTGCCTACAGTTACCACCCAGTTTCTCCATAACAGTGGATTAATCCACTGATCAGGTTATAGCTCTCATAATCTAATCATTTCATCTCTGAACATTTTGCATTGCCTCATACATGAGCTTTTTTAAAAATTGTAGATGGATACAATACCTTTATTTTGTTTATTGATTTTTTTTTTATGTGGTGTTGAGGATTGAACTCAGTGCCTCACACCTGTTAGGCGAGCATTCTACCACTGAGCCACAGTCCCAGCCCTCTCACACATGAGCTTTTAGGGGACATCTCATATCTAAACCACAATGAAGAATTTGAATTTTAAAACATTGATATTTATTAAGTGCTTTTTCATGATAGACACTGCTGATATTATTATGCCCATCCTCGTTTTACAGTGAGAAAACTGTATTAATGAAGTGTCTTATT